AGATCATCAAATCCAGCCGTTCCCCCAGCAGTGCCAAGGCCACCACTGACCCATGTCCCCAAGTGCCACATCCACACGGCTTTGAGATCCCTCCAGGGATGGGGACTCCATCAGCCTGTTCCAATGCCTGACCACTCTTTCAGTGAGGATATTTTTCCTAATCCCCAGCCCTCGAGAAAGCATTAGACAGGAACAAGCCCATCCCTCCCCCAGTCTCCAGGAATGTGGCTGTTACCTCCCGGTGTCATCGAAGCAGACGTCGGTGTGTCCTTCGGTGTGTCCGTACCGCATTGGCTTCCGAGCCGAGGGCATCTTTGCTCCCACCTGTGTGTCTGGGGAAGGGGTGGGGAAAGAGGAGAAATAACCTCAGATAGAAGAAAACGCTTCGGGAAGAGCCTCAGCCGACGAGGACAGGTGAGAGCTGGTGGGACACCCACACAGCGGGGATGGGGGTACCGAGGGGATGGGGGTACCGAGGGGATGGGGGCACCGAGGGGATGGGGGCACCGAGGGGATGGGGGCACCGAGGGGATGGGGTACCGAGGGGATGGGGGCACCGAGGGGATGGGGGTACCGAGGGATGGGGGCACCGAGGGATGGGGACATTGGGGGATGGGGTACCGAGGGATGGGGTACCGAGGGAATGGGGGCATTGCAGGGATGGGGGCATCAAGGGGATGGGGGCATTGCAGCGATGGGGGCATCGGGGGAATTGGGAGTACCGAGGGGATGGGAACATTGCAGGAATGGAGGCATCGAAGGGGTGGGAACATTGCAGGAATGGGGACCACACAGGGGATGGGGGCACGGAGGGCATGGGGGTACCGAGGACATGGGGGCACTGAGGGCATGGGGGCACCGAGGACATGGGGGCACCGAGGGCATGGGGGCACCGAGGACATGGGGGCACCGAGGACATGGGGGCACCGAGGGCACGGAGACATTGCGGGGATGGGAATACCGAGGGAATGCGGACACCGGGCTGCCGAGGCCCGGAGGCCCGTGCGGTGCCGGGGCCTGTCCTCCGACCACCCCGGGCCGGGTCGGGCCGCCCGCCAGACCCCGGCAGGACCCCCCCAATCCTGCCCGGCTCCCCTCGCCCCGGGCAGGGTCCCGGTGCGGCCACCCCCTCCCCATGTCCCCGCTCACCGCTCCCCGCCGGCCGTACCGCCCGTTCGAGCCTTCCCGCGCCCGCCGCCGCCGCCCCGCCCGCCGCGGGGCCGGGCCCGCTCCGTCAGCGCCGGGGCGGGGCCGGGCCGGGCCGGGGCGGCCCCGGCAGCGGGATGGCGGCGGAGGGCTGAGGGGCCGCGGCTGCACCGGCGGCACCCGGCTGGGGACACACCGGCACACAGCGGGCGCCCCGCGGGACAGCATCGCAGCACCGCGAGGTGGGTGCGGGGAGCGGGGACGGCGGGGCTGGGGGGCGGCAGAGGGGTGTGAGCGCCGGGGGGTCGGGGCTGAGCCCCTGTCAGGCGCGGTACGGGGGGGGATCGGGGTGTCCTGTCACCGGCGGGGGGGTCGGGCCGCGGTCTGAGCCCCCTGTCAGTCACCGGAGGGGCTCGGGTGCTCCTGTCACCCAGGGGGTTGGGTCCAGGGTCGCCTGTCCCCGAGGGGGTTCAGTGCGGGCTCTGCGCTCTGTCACCGGGGGGGCTCGGTCCGGGCTCTGCTGTCACCGGAGGAACTCGAGCCGGGCTCTGATCGCTGTCCCCGCGGGGGCTCGGCCCGGTGTCCGTGTCCCTGCCGGTCACCCGGTGGGCTCGGGGGCTCCTGTCCCCGCCGGGGTTCATTGCGGGGTCTGCTGTCACCGCGGGGGACTCGGCCCCGAGCTCTGCGCTGTGTCACCGGCGGATCTCGGTCCCCGGCTGGCGTTTGCTTTTCCTCTGGGAAAAAAGAAAAAAACCCCAACCCTGTCCTATCTATATCCCGACGTTTATAGTGCACATATGTTCCCTGTATATACATCCCTGTGTGGATTCAACGGCAGCCCCTCCAGAGGCTCAGGAAGGGCAGGAAAATCCCAAATGTGGGGCAGGGCAGTGCCTTTCGCCTCCCCCCTTCCTCCGTAGGCAGCACCCCCGTGACAGCGGGAGCTGCGGGGTCAAACCCCTTCGGAGATCCTTATGGTCATCATGGAATTCACTCCGGAATCGCGGCCATCCTGACGCGTGTGCGAGGTGGAGTCGGGCAGGTAGCGATTGCACTGCGAAAATCACCAAGCTGGGGGATGTGTTTTTTGGCTGAAAAATAGGAAGAAAGAATCGTGGTGGATTTCTTGGAATATTAAAAAAAAAAAAAAAACAAAAATCCAAAAAGAAAACCACAAAAGCGCTAAACTCAACATACTTGAAATAAAGAGGAAAACAGCAGTTATCTGTTTTCCCTTTTATGTAGCCCTAATGATCTGGCCCGGTTTATTCCTGCTTCTAAGAAAAAAAAAAATTGCTTCCAGGCAAAACCCTTTTATCTTCAATTTTGCTCTGCAGCGGAGTTATTGGTGGTTGGGGTGAGCAGAGTGATTTATTTATATTGGAAATGTGGTTCTCTCTAACACTCACATTGTTGGTACTTTCATGAATGAGTAAGTGACAGGATTACAAAGCAGGCACGGTTCAGTAAGAAAAAAAATAACATATATATGTATGGCCAGATTTCATTATTAAACCTCGTGGAAGCTGTGTAGAGACACGTTTTCCATGGGTGTAACCTACATATTTCAGCAAATCGTGATTCCTGGCGAGGATAATGTGTTCTAGAGAAATGATTCCGAGCTGAACCACTTATCAGATGAGTGGGAAGACCAAGCTATTCTTGCTGCAAGCCGCTGCCTGGGACGGAGACAAATGCAAGTCAAATGTGTTTATTTTTCTTAATTATTTTAATTTTCGGAGGCTCTGATACAAACTGCACCTAAAGCATTTTACGCTCAGTTCTAAGAAACAACTGAATTCCCTGTCTGGAGGTGCTGCCTGCCGGGATAACTCTTGGAGAGGCATGGGAAAAGTGGGGGGGAGGCTTTTCGGGAGGGTGGCAGGATCCCACTCGCCTCTTGGCCAAGGGGACCGCAGGGCCCTGTGGCTTTGTCACGTCCCGAGTGACACGGCATGAAATGCAAAGTTATACTTTAAATCCGGTCGGGAGCTCAGCCTGCTGCCGGCTTGATTAATAGGTGTGAGTGGCTGCGAGCGAGCGGCGGGGCGGGAGCCGGGAATCGCCGCTCTCCGGTTTCTGGGTGGAGCGCGGAGCGTTTGGGCATGGACCATAAAGCTCGGGCTGATTTAGTACTCGGGAGGCTGCTGCGGTTTGCAAAGCGCTGCGAGCATCTCTCCTTCCACACGCGAGCAGAGCCTCATCGAAGCGGGGGACGGGAGCAGCCCTCACCTTTGGCGCCTGCTGCTTGGGCAGCCTCAGTTCCACCTCCTGGCTGCGAATAAAACAGCCCCAGTGCTGGGGTTGGCTGGGCATAGCCCCGCTCCCCCTGCACTTCTAGGCATGAATCAAGGGTGTTTCCAAGGAAGAAGTGTTGTAGGTTACCGCTGGCACCTTTAGAAAGTCTTCTGTGTGTGTGATTATTGCTTTAATTTGCTGGAAAGGCTTCTGGAGTCAAGTGATTTTGGATGGTGTCATAAATCAAAATAAAGTCAAAACTGAATCGAAATAAGTTAAGATTTGTTATTATCCTCAGCAGGCTGGGAAGGTCAGGTTTTAAAATGTGGTCTCCTGGCCAAAATCTAATTGGGCAAAATTTAGCGAAAACAGCTTGTGACCAGTGTGATTTTGTTTTAAAATTGCTTTTATGTAAGTTGAAAGAAAAAGTCCTCCAGTTTATTACAGCTTGCTCTCCTGTCTCAGGATTTTACCAGCTCTAGAATATCAACTTCTGTAACAATTCCAAAACTGATTTATTGTTCTTTGTGAGTCTTCTTTTGTTTAATTAGGGGCATAATACAGCAAGGCTTTGTGTGCTTGGACAGAAAAGTTTCCCAGTACTTCCTTCACTAGAAGGGTTGTGCAGTGTGGGGGCACTGGAGAGGTGGTGGGACCTCCATCCTTGGGGGTTTTCAGCCATTCCATGGCTTCCCTGAGCCCACACTGGCAGCGATCCCGCTCCAAGCAGGAGGGTGGGCTGGAGACCCCCCACCATCTGCTCCTTCATCATACCCAAAGGGAAGCAGCTTGATGAAGAGGACTTGGAGGCTTTGGACCACAGGCAAGGATCCAGCAGCTCAGGACATAAGTATCTAGTTAAAGCAGTTCAGTATTTAAGTATTTATTGAATAAATAATAAAAAAAAAAGGGTCTGTCTACACTTATGGTTTTGATTCTCCTATTGGAGTCGCTGAGTATTTGCCACTGATTTAATTAGACATATGGTGAGGCTGTCTCTGCCTTATCACAGCTGTGGATTGCAGCCTACCCCTGGCTAGGAGGTAATATTGTTATTCCTCCAAACAGAGACTGGATATTGCTTTTAGTCTGGGCTTGAAGTCTTAGTGTTGAGGCATCAGCTCTTGAAAGGAAAAGCACCTCGTCTGCAGACAGGAGAGAGGAACCGCTGAAGGGGCACATCACAAAACCCCCAGCAGAACCCACCCAGCTCTCTGCTTGTCCCCAGGGACCGTGGCTGTGACAGTGTGGGGTAACCTTGGACCACAAGCCGGGTCCTGTGGCCTGAAGTGAACTCTGCTCATCCCCACACGTGGCTTTGTCTTGGCCGTTTCCTCAGGGGGAAGAGTTCCCAGCATAAGGGTTTTGTCAAATCCGTCGGCTCCGGAGATGCCTGAGGTGTCCCCGTGCAGGAGAAGGCTTTTGGAGGCAGGACACTAATAATATCCACCCAAAGGAGCTCAGCACGGGGGGTGTGAGCTGCACAGGGCTGGGCCCCTCCATTTAAGCTTGCCCTGTAGGGAAAAGTACACTCCGTGTTCCCCCTCTTTTATCCTCGCCTTCCTCTCCGGCTCTTGCAGCGGCGCTCCGGCCGTTAATGGATGTCCATGGCATTTCCCTCGGATGCTGCAGTGAAAGGAAGAGCTGCTTTAGATGGATAGCCCGGAGTGGTAATAGAGCTCTGAATGCATCCCTGCCCTTTATGCATTTCTCTTTCTGACACTCTGTAATTATTTTTGGTCCCCGTTTTATTGGTGGGGCTGCGAATCATGGCTTTGGAAGGGTGTTGAAGGTGTGATCCCTTAATGTAACGCCAAACAGTGGGATTTGGGCACCTGAATACCCTATGGCTGATGTTTTGGAAGGCACCTCTCCTTTGAGCACAGGGATGTTCATAACTCATTTGGGAACAGAGGTTTTGCCTCCTGAGTCCAGCTGACCACTGTTCCTTTCTTCGCACAATTCCAGCCTGGCTTTGGTGGGGTGACATCCCTTTCTCTCTTCAGTTATTCCCTGCTCTTTTCACAGCTCTGGTGTTCTGCCTGATTAGCAATCGCTGCTCTGACGTGGCAGAGCCGGCGCCTGGGTTCCAGCAGCCTCCAAACCCCAGGGAAGCGGCTCTGGCTAATGGTGCGTGGCTTTCCAGCATCACGTGCTGCTCCTCCAGCTTCACTTCCAGGGCTCAGGTGCCACTGATGATTTGTGACAGAGAAAAGGTACAAAGGACAAGGTGGCTTCACAGTTGCACACAACAGCAACCCAGAAATTCCAAAAAAACTCAGAAACCCTGAGCTTCTTTCAGTTGGAAGGCCGAAGTCAGGAAATAATGGGCCTTCCCAACCTCTGGGTTTTGTTTGTTTTGCAGTGTTTAATTAAAAGCCCCCATTCTGCGTGTTCTTATCCCTTATATGGGCTGGATGAGCAGGATGAGATAATTGAAGGTTTCAGAAGCAATTACAAACTGTCGTATCCCAGTTTTTAAGCACTTGACTTTGCAACCTCAGTGATGTCTCTCTGCCCAATTAAAAATCCCATATATAGAGAGTTAATGTATTTTTATTACAGCATAAATCTAGAATAACTTTTTTTTCTTCAGTTACTTCAGATTATCACCAGAGTCAATGAGATTGCTTTTCCCCCTCTTTTTTTTAACTGTGGAGAAAATTCAGTGCTCCACTTCAGCTGTTTCTGGATGAAAAATATCAGTATTCTAAAAGCAATGAATGAATCCTGGTCTAAATAAAGACGTTTTGGGTCTAAAATATAAATATTGCCTTTCTTCTGCCTTCATTGTGTCTTGCAATGCTGTCAGTGAAAAGCAATTTGCAAAATCCCGAGAGAAGAAAAAAAAAACTTTAATTTGATTTGTAATTGCTGGAATATTGACCCTGTTTTATGATTCCACTTGGTACCAGCAAGGAACTATTCACCTGCACTGCTCCAGTGCCATTTTCTCCCAGCACATCTGCAATACTTAACCCATCTCACCCTCACTCTCCGTTTCTGCATCTCCTTCTTCCCTTCCCCTCCCTTTCCCTTCCCCTCCCCCACTCAGCTCTCAGTTTCGCGGGTTTTAAATAAGGAATGCAACAACGTCAAAAATTCCCGGGTGAAAGTTCCATCTGGGCTGCATTTGGCCCCCAGATTGCCTGGGAGCCTTTTGGCACGGCTGCCTCGTTCTCTTGCAGAGAGCAGAGGCTCGAACTCAGCCTGCTCAGCCCCCGGGGGACCACAGAGAGGTTGTGTCATGCTGGCTAATCCTGATGATGAGAATGGATTGAATGGAGAGAGGAAGTGGATGCCCTTTTCTTTTCCTGCTTAGTATTTACCGTGTCAATTAGTTGTGAAAAAAAAACCAAAACAAAAAAAAACCCCAAAATGACACAACAGAAAACCCCACAGCCAAAAAACCCCAGTGGAGGAGAGGAACTGTGCTTGGTTTTGGTGCAAAAGCATCACAGAATCATAGAATATCATGATGGATGATGATGGGAAATATTTCTGCCTCGTGCCACGCCTGGGGAGGGGGGTACAGCATCCATACCATATTGCTACCTACGTACCTTGAAAAAATCCTGCTCTCAGTAATCAAAAGAGGCTTCTTTTTTTAATCTTTTTTTTTTTTTTCAAAGTGCAGCATTCAAAAGGAAACCTCTTTTCTGTCTGAGGATTCAATACACCTCTGGAAACAAAAGAAAATGAAATCAGCGAGCGTAGGTCTCAGAGCAACGCTGATTTTAATAATGTAAACTTCCTCCTCTAATGAGTAATAAGCAGTTCCATCTTTTCACGGCCTTTTAAAATTGCTTTTAGTAAGGGGCTGGATTGTTTTAATCCTTTTCAGTATGTAAAGCCCCAGATATTTCAATCCCTTGGGGGCTCAGAATTTCCTAGCTCCGTTTGAAAAGGCGGAGGAAAACAGCTTTTCAAAAACTGACGGAATCTGTGACTGATAAAATTTAATATTTTATTTTTGTTTTCCTCATCCAGAAAGTGACCCAAAAGTGTCAGTTAAGAAACAGATCCCTGGCATCCCACCCTGTGGATTAGTAGCAAACAGGCATATCATCTAGGTACAGTAGCTCTTTGTACTCTGACCTAGTTGTTTCTGTTCTGGTTTGTTCCTTCTTGAAAGGTTTTTTGGAAGAGATGCAGAATTCGCTCCATAAACAGCTAAAGCACTATCACCTGCCCCGGGAAGGGTTTCCTTCTGGAACGGACCCTGGCACGATGGGATTGCCCACACCTAAAAGGCGTAGGCAGAATGGATCCCCCAAAAAACACCTGAGATGGTTTGTCCTGGAGGACGATTTTCCCAAGGAAGGGTTAAAATAGAGCTTTTTCTGGGATCAGGCGGGTATTTTTGGGCTGTTATAGTGAATTCACCTTGGCCATCTGATTTTTACAGGGCCAGCAATTCACTGTGGCTGTTGTCCCGTGTCCAGCCCCGGGGTTGGATCGCCGGTGCTTAACCGAGCTGTGCTTTCTTTTCTCCCTCAGATATTTCCAGAAAGTGCCTCGAGGAAGCTTCCTTATGTAGAGAAACCCCACAAGGAGCACACGGCGCTTCCTGGCAACTCGTGAAGCGAAAGCTGTCACGATGGCAGAAAACAAGGACAGCGGCGCTAAAAATGCAGACGTGAGGCCCAAAAGCAGCCGGAGCAGGAGCGCCGACAGGAAGGACGGGTACGTCTGGAGCGGGAAGAAGCTTTCCTGGTCCAAAAAGAGCGAGCACTGTCCCGATGCCGAGACGGCAAGCGCTGGGGGAAGAGCGGGGACTAATTTAAGGAGCCAAGAGAGGAAATACAGCTGCTCGTCCATCGAGCTGGATCTCGACCGCTCCTGCGGCCACAGGATTTTGGGCCGCTCCCTCAAGCAGAAGCTCCAGGATGCTGTGGGCCAGTGCTTTCCCATCAAGAACTGCAGCAGCCGGCACGCCTCGGGCCTGCCATCCAAAAGGAAGATCCATATCAGCGAGCTGATGCTGGATAAGTGTCCTTTCCCCCCGCGCTCGGAGCTGGCGTTCCGCTGGCACCTGATCAAAAGGCACACGGCCCCCATAAGCCCGAAAGCAGAGGAGTGGATAATTGCCGATTTATCCCAGCACGGGGAGAGGGAGGACCGGGGTGGGGACGACGAGGTTGCCAATGGGGGAATGGACTCTCCCTCCCCGTCCTGCGACTTCGCCGACAGCGGCTCCTCCCGGGGGGACGCGAGGCCCGAGCTGGCCGCAGGTAAGGTGACGAGGAGCAGCAGGGAGGAGAGCGACATGGACTCCGATGACGAAGTTATAACCCTGTGCACGAGTTCCAGGAAAAGGAACAAGCCCAAGTGGGAGACGGATGACGAGCTGCTGCGGATGGAAACGCCCCCGAAATACCACACGCAGATCGATTACGTCCACTGCCTCGTCCCAGACCTCCTCCAGATCAATAACAACCCCTGCTACTGGGGAGTCATGGATAAGTACGCGGCCGAGGCGCTGCTGGAGGGAAAGCCCGAGGGAACGTTTTTGCTGCGAGATTCCGCCCAGGAGGACTATCTGTTTTCCGTGAGCTTCAGGCGCTACAGCCGCTCCCTCCACGCGCGGATCGAGCAGTGGAACCACAACTTCAGCTTCGACGCCCACGATCCTTGCGTCTTCCACTCCCCCGACATCACGGGGCTCCTGGAACACTACAAAGACCCGAGCTCCTGTATGTTCTTTGAGCCACTTTTGTCCACTCCCCTGAACAGGACCTTCCCTTTCTCCCTTCAGCACATATGTAGAACGGTCATTTGCAACTGCACAACTTACGACGGGATCGATGCGCTTCCCGTTCCTCCCTCGGTGAAGCTGTACCTGAAGGAATATCACTACAAGTCAAAAGTTAGAGTGCTCAGGATTGATGTGCCAGAGCAGCAAAGCTAGAAAATATTTTTGTGAAAGAGGTTGCCTCTGAAAGGAATTGTGTCTGAACAGGCAATAGTATGTTCCCTCTTTTTTTCCATCTAGGTTTGGGGTTTTTTTTTTAATAGCAATTTGTTTTGGTTTTTTTTTTTCCTTTTTTCCCCTGCAGATTATTTACCACCCAAACTAGTTTCTGTCTAAGGCTCTTTTCTCCAAATGTACTTTGAGTCTTCCCAGCTCCCTTTTTTTGAGAAATTATATTCATTGTGGGCTTTTGGTACTGTTCCCAGATTAGAGTTTGATGGAATTCCAGGTAGACTTTCTGGTATTTCTATAGATGGATAGCCGTTAGGTCTGAAAACCCCTAAAAAATCAGTTTTGGACTGGATCTGTCTTTTCTATTGTAGTTGACACGTGTTGCTGACATGTTTGAAATAATGCAGTGTTAACTAAAGATTGACTCATCTGTATTTTCTGCATTTCTTTTAAAATGAGTGCTCTAACCTCCCTGTGTGTGTGTGGATGTGTCTGTCCGTACCCAGCACAGTAAATTCATCAGTCTATTTCTAACATTACTATTCCGAGCAAAATGAAGTTGGAAAGGGGATATGATCTTTCTATAAATACAACAGGGGACTAAATACCAGAGGAGAGGGAAAAACAATTCAAGTTGAGGACAGCACTCGGTGCAGGAACAAACATGTACAAACTGGTCCTGGAAAGATTTGGGTTGGAAAAAAAAAGAGGAAGGCTCCTCATTGTCAGAGCTGCGGGGTGCTGGAACAGCTTTTCATTTTGTATAATAGCAGTAAAAGGCAAACTGCTCATAAACTGGGATTTGATCAGTGTCTGGAAGGGATAATGATGTGGTTATTTATGATGGATGGGGCTTGGACTCGGAAACTCTGTTCCTGTGTTACTATTTCATTGTATGAAATAGCCAGTTTTCACACTGGTTAAATGATAAAACACGGGGTGGGAGGGTGAGAAGGCAGGTATTTCCTTAAAAATCTGCATATTAAGCGATCTCATCCTGCATGGTTGAGCCTGAGGTGATGATGAGTAACCTTGGTGAGTAGGGGGATTGCTTTTTAAACAAGTATAGTTAGTTAGAAAAGAAAAAAAAAAAAAAAAAGTCTGCAGATTTTTCTTGCGATGCGAAGCGTTTGGTCGGGTGGCTTCCTGCCAAATTCCATGTACGGGAAAACCGTGCCTGGATAATGCTCCTGAAAGCATTGCTTACACTACATGGATAGGCAGATCTGCTGCTGAACTCTTGGTGGAATCCCACTGAGGCTTGGAGGATCCGGGTTCAGGCAGGAAACTCCACGGCTCTCCAGGCTGGCCTGGGGGTGCAGCTCCAGGGGGTGCAGCAGGGACCTGCAGGTCTGTCCCCTTTGCCTGGATGGGCTTCATCTCCTCCCCCAAAACCGGGCCCTGAACCCCCCTGCCAAGACTGTGTGGGATGATGTAATTGTAGCTCCGACAACCACTCTGTTTCCTCCCCTTTGATCGCGGGGAGTGTTTGTGTCCTCTCAAAACGCTTCTGAAACTGAGCCCCCAGCCCGCAGAATGACAAATGTGCTGTCAAAAATCAGCAGTGACCTGTGCCTGAGGTTGTCACAGAATGGTTGAGGTCGGAAGGGAGCTCTGGAGATCCTCCACTCCAGTCCCCCTGCTCGAGCAGCATGCACAGGGTCACATCCCATGGAGTTTGAGTATCTCCAGAGAAGGACACTCCACAGCCTCTCTGACCTGTCCCAGGGCTCAGTTGCCCTCACAGTGGAGAAGTTTTTCCTCAAATTCAGATGGAACTTCCTGTGTTTGAGTTTGGGCCTGTTGTTCCTTGTCCTGTCCCAGGGCACTGCTGGAAAGAGTCTGTTCCCATCCTCCTGGCACCTGCCCTTAGGGTGTTTATCTGTATGGATTGACAGGCTCCCCTCTCAGTTGTCTCTTCTCAGGCCCAGCTCCCTCAGCCTTTCCTCATCAGAGAGGTGCTCCAGTCCCTTCCTCATCTTCACAGCCCTCCTCCACTGGACCTGCTCCGGTAATTCCTTCTCTTTCCTTCACTTGGCAGCCCAGAACTGGACACAGCACTCCAGATGAGCCCTCAGCAGGGTGGAGGAGAGGGGCAGGATCACCTCCATCAACCTGCTGGGCACATTCTTCTCCATACAGCCCAGGATAGCAGTGGTTTTCTTGACCCCCAGGGCACCCTGCTGGCTCATGGTGAATTTGTCCACAAGGACCTCCAGATCCTTCTCCAGCAGGTCAGTCCCAGGCTGGACTGGTGCAGGGGATTATTCCTTCCCAGGTGCAGGACCCTGGCTGAACTTCCTTAGGTTCCTCTCTGCCCACCTTTCCAGCCTGTCCAGGTCTGCTGGAATGTCAGCACAGCCTGTTGGTGTGTCAGCCACTCCTCCTAATTCAGTATCATCAGCAAACCTGTTAAAGTACACTCTGTCCATTCATCTGGGTCACTGATGAGTAAATCCAGCAAGAGTGGGCCCATCGCTGATCCCTTGGGAATCTGTGTGCAGGCAAGGCTACCACATCAATCCACGGCACTGCACATGGATGAACACACCACAGGACAAACTCTCAGCTGCTGGAAATCAGTGTGGCTTTATGGATACACTTACAGTGCCTTATACCAGCTGAGATTCTCTCTCCTCCCCTGCAAGTGGGACTGTGTGGCTGACATCAGGAAAAAACTGCCCTTTCTTCCTGTAGTGTTTTCCTTGTGCTGCTTCCATGCACTGCCTTTTGCACAAACTGTACTTTGCCAAGGGCAGCTTTGCATTAATAACTTTATTTTTCACCTTATCAGTGCTGTTTTCTAAATGAAACGTGGGGTTCATTGCTGCTCTGCCCTTTTCCACTGTCACTGGTGGGCTGCTGGGCTGTGACTTGGGTGATTCCAGCACGAGGGAACTGCGTCTGGTTCAAGTTCTGGAGTGACATCAGAGATATTTGCAGCCTGCTTGGATTCAAATTCTCTTTCAGAAAACTCCTAATTAGGGCAAAAAGCTCATCATTTTAGCTGGAGGTTAAGCGTTATTTTTATGGCAAGACCACAAAAGATAGATCTGGACCAAAAGTTGTCCTTCAGGAGTTAGCCAAGGCCACCATCATTTTCACAGCCAGCAAAGATTTCATCCCCTCAGAACGAGAGGTCACGAGAGAACCTTTTTTTTGGGGTGCCATTCCCCAAAGCACTGCGTTTCAGTGTCATTCTGGATGCAGCCTACATTGTTTTGACATGAGTTGATGCCTCACTTACCCCAAAAACATCTTGAGCACTCCAAATTTAGGAGACCTACATAATACAGCAGTTGGGGGAAGAAGGTGCAGCACATAAAAATAGTGCCTTTGGACTGTGGGGCAGCTAATTGCCTTTTTTTATTTTTAGAGAAATATGTAGAAAGTCTTGATACATGAGATTTTGTGGAAGTTCATCCTGTTTTTTCCTGTTTTACTTGTCCACCTGTGTGATGTTGGTCCCTGGTGAAAGTGAGTCGTGTATACACGTGCAGCCTGTGAAAGATCCGTGGCATGAACATGCTTCAGAAAAGATAAGAACTCAAAAGGTCTATTTTGTTGAAATCCACGGACCTTTTTCTCTCTTCCTTCCTTCTTTTTTTTTTTTTTTTTACAATATGCCAAGAAATGTCATCCTAAAGTTTTCCTCCTGCAGCTACCACCAACAGTCTTATCAGTGCTGCTCTTTCCAGTTCCACTGTAGGACACCTTGATCCAAAGATAACCAAGCCTTGAAGTTCAGTGTTGAAACCCTCTAAAAAATTAGCCTCAAAAACCAGGGTAAGAACTTCCTATGTTTCCAGAATCACTGAATCCCACAGAATGGTTTGGGTTGGAAGGGACCTTCCAGATCATCCAGTTCCAACCCCCTGCCACGGGCAGGGACACCCTCCACTAGCCCAGGGATGCTCCAGGGATGGGGAGTCCACAATCTTTCTTCTAAGCCCAAATTCGGCCAGGACAGAAATCCCAGGTTCTTCAGGATGAAAATTAAATCTGGTAAAAGGAAAATATCTGATTCTGGTAAATTATTTTGATGTGAGGGAGGGAAAAAACAGGTCAGGCTCTTGATGCACGCTGGGCAAACTGCAAATACAAGCTATTTTTGCAGGATGGTTAAAAAAAAAAAAAATTAAACACTCTTTCCATTAATTGTGTCCTCTGGAGTTTGCTGTTGCCTGGAGTGACTTTTTGCAGCTCCATAACCATGTCAGTGGCTGGCCCAGGGCCGTCGATACCGAGCGACTTCAGCTCCAGCAGCGTCATCGATGGGCTTGGGGTGGTTTGTGTGCCTGATAATTGGGAATACACATTTCTTCTCCATTTTCCAATTCTCAGCACTTGCCCTGATGAAATCCAGGGCGTATTTGGAGCAGGATTTGTGTATCTATAGTGGAACCTCTGACTTTAAAACAAACAAACAAACAAGCAAACAGCAAATTATTGTGATTTAAATGCTTTCCTTTTAAAGGTGCTGGTGTGCTTCCAATCTGAAGAAGAAATCCTTGCATGATGCAGCCATACAGGGCCTTACTGCAAAATTGACATGCTCTTAAATAATTAAAAAGGGGGATGCTTTAATTTTGAAAAAGGATGCTGGAGGAAGGAGGTTAAAGGAAGCTTTTAGTCAGATCCAAGGTTAGATTTATTGATCTAGTGATCAATCCCTTTCTCTTTCCTGGATTTAAAGCTAATGGGGGACTGTGGTCAGAGATGAGTGGCTTTTAGTTAAGGTTTTTGACTCTTATAAATAATACAGCAAATGTCCTAGTAAGTAATAAGAAATAAGATACTCCCTCATTCTTTTTAAATAGAACAAACGTGGCAAACAAGACTCAGCTGTAATTTTTGAAGTCATTTATTAGACAAATTGCTCCTCTCTACTTCTTTTACAAGAGAGACATAAACCATTATATTATTTATTCATGAAGCACAGCCATTAGGATGATAAATCAAATTATCAGCTTCCTGTCTCTCTTCAGTTTTAATCATTTTTTATAGTTCATGCACTATAAAGACAGCTTCCTTCCTATGAAACAAGGGACCTTCAGAGACCTTTTTATTGGAAACGTACATTTCCTTCCCATTTTTAAGTACATCCCAGTGATTTTCGCTGTCAATTTTATCTGCAATAAAAATCCAATAAGGAACTTGTTCATTGATTCAATATAGCAAAGTTAGCTATGAAGTAAGTGATTTTGGTTAACCTCTGGAATAACAGAGCACTGGGAAGCTCAGTTAAAGGTTGTGTTTTGGTTTTTTTTTTTTTTCCTCTGCCACCCCTGAATGTGCCTGGTGGGATCATATCTTTAATGGAGAGAAATATTTAATAGAGAGAAATATTTAATAGAGAGAAATCTTGACCCAAGCTCACACACTGATAGTAGAGGGTTGAATGTGATCTCTGCAGTAACATCACTTTTTAAAT